TCTACTCTACTCTACTCTACTCTACTCTACTCTACTCTACTCTACTCTATTCTTTTTGTTATTCTCTTCTATTTGCAAAGAGGTATGCTTAGATGTCACCATTTGAAACATACCAAGAGGTAATATACCTAGATAAAACTTAGATGAAAGACAATATGTTTAAACAAGAATTACATTTCTTTATGTACCTACGAACTATTTACACATCAATTCCCCAAAGAGTGTTTTCTGTGTGTGTGTTTGTTTTTTTTAACATTAAACACAACTTTTACTTTCTGGTGAAAGCAAACATTCCCCTATCCATTTTCATTAGTCCGTTTTCCTTTAAATAAGTTTTAAAGCACATTTGCCTAGGTGAGTGCCTAATTTCCTTTCTAATTTTCAGTCTGTTCTGGGTTCAGAGACGTGCAGTGTTGAGTTTAGAGAAAGTGGCGGCGGGGGGATGGGACTGAATGACAATGGCAATTCCATTTCCTAGTTTGGAAAGTATTAATTAGCTCCGTTCATGCATAAATGTGAACAAAACAAATTTATCCTTATCCTTAACTGATTGTAATTTGAAAATGGAAAAGCATAAATACTTGTACAAAAATTGGTGCATGCTGCCTCATTACTGCATTAACGTATTAGATACATCTGGCTGTTTGGAGCTGTTGGGGGTTTGTTTGTTTTTTTTTGCAATATTTTATGTTTTTATTGTGCTGCGTTTAGTTTTTAACTTATCAGAGTCCTGGTGAGGTAGGGAGCATTACAAGCAGTCCTCGACTTACAACAATTGAGCCAAAAATTCTGCGGCTGGACGAAACATTTGTGAACTGAACTTTGCCTCATTTTATGACCTTTCTTGTCACTGTTGTTAAATGAATCGCTGCAGTCGTTAAGTTAGGAACACAGTTGTGAAGTGTATCTGGTTTCCCCATGGACTTTGTTTGTCAGAAAGTTGCCGGGACACGTTGTAAGTATGAGTCAGTTGCCAAAGGCCTGAATTTTGATCAAATGAATTGGACAGTGGGGAAGAACATGGACCAGTCCGGGAGTCTGGGGAGGACTCGGACGTCGATCCTGAATCCGATACAGAGATGGGGCCAGGACCATCGGGGAAGTGTGTGCAGACTGTGGAGCCCCCAGAATCTGGCAGCAGCGAGGCAGAGGAACAGGGGGAGCCTGTTCCCAGTGCGCGTGTGCACAGAGCTGCCAGAAGGCAAGAGCAGCTGAGACAAATGGGGCAACTTGGGAGTAAGGCTTGGAAGTGATTGCCCCTCTCCTAAGGTATAAAGGAAGTGCAAAGGGGCAGGAATCTTTGCAGGAAGCAACATTGTTCGCTCTGGTCGGTTCGGAACCTGAAAGCTCCATGGTGAATTTGTGCTCCGTTTGGTTTTGAAAGACTAATTGGTACTTTAGTCGTTGGCTGCACTTCAAGAAAGATAAAGGTGCGTTCTTATCAGACTTCTCCCGAAGAACTTTGGCAGACTGCCATGGGACTATTTATAACTGATTGAGAGTCATTATGGGCTGTGAATGATGATAATTCACAGCCGTTGAACTAAAATAAAAGGGTTTTTGATTTAATGTGTGTTTGTTGGTGTCTCAGGAAACCTTGGTCAGAACATAAATGTACTGTTGTAAGTCAAGAACTACCAATACCTGTATAGATGTGATCTACACATAAACAGAGAAACTGCCTGTTTTTCTGGGCTGCAGAAGGTTGAGTTCAGTTTTGTCAGCCTGTGAAGAGTTAAACATCCTATACAATTATAACACAATCCTCCCTGTCTTTTCTATTGTGCAGGCAAATACAAGCCTGCCGCCTTTCAAAATTACAATTTATTTTTTTAACGTCCTGCATTTTCTTCTGCATGAAAAACATGTGATTTGGTTGTAATGGACAAACAAACAAACACAAATCCACGTTTCCTTATCTTTGTTGGTACTTGTCTCCCTAATTAAGTTTTGTGTTGAAGCTACTAGAGAGTAGCATGTTCCCTCTCTCTCTCTCTCCCTGCATCTACATTTCCATTTTCACATTTTGTCCAACACAAATGAATACACAACGTTCCAGAAAACCTGCACTCAAGAGTGTGAGAGATAGATAGAGACAGACAGAGGCAGACAGGACTAAATAAATTATGTTGTTGTGTCTGCTGTGATCCAATACTGTAGCATCTCTACATTCTTTGCCTCTATGTCGCATAATCCTCTCCTGCTGAATCTCTGGATCTGTCCATGGTTCTGAACACAATACCTCTCTTAGTTGGTTGAACTTCAATCAGATTAACAGATTAACAGAGTGGGAAGGGACCTTGTAGGTCATCTAGTCCAACCCCCTCTGCCCAAACAGAAGACCCTACAACATTTCTGACAAATGGCAGTCCAGCCTCTTCTTGAAAGCTTCCAGTGATAAAGCTCCCACAACTTCTGAAGGCAACTTCTGTTCCATGGGTTGATTGTTCTCAATGTCAGAAAATGTCTCCTTATTTCTAGATTGAATCTCTCTCTCTCTCTCTCTCTCTCTTCCTTTTATTGGCCATTTCACAATCAACATTCCATATTTTGAACCCAACTCTCACCAGCTTTCCAAATGACTGACAAGATGGCCGAGGTGAAGGATCTCAAGATGGTTAAGAATTGGGACTCGTCATGGAAAACTTCTCATTTCTGGTTGGGCCAGACAAACAACAATTGGATTTTAAAGGTAAGAACCATCCTTTAACTGGGAGATTTTCTTTGAAAAAGTAGGCAATCCAAATAGTGAGAGCAGCAAATATGTGGAGCTCAAATGTGGGGTCCTTGGCGCTCTCTGAGCTTGGTAGTTTTCTTGAAGACATTTCATTACCAAACTAGGTAACATCATCAGTGCTAGAAGAGACAATATTACCTAGTTTGGTAGTGAAACGTCTGCAAGAAAACCACCAAGTTTAGAGAGCACCAAAAACTCCTTGGGATTTTTCTTTCTCCTCCTTCTCCTCCTCCTCCTCCTCCTCTTCTCCTCCACTCCACAAACCCCACTCCCTTCTAGCACTGAGGACATTCCCTACTTGGGTACTTAAACATCTGCAAGAGATCCCCAAGGATCCCACAGTTCAACCCCGTGCTACCAATATTTGCTGCTATCACTATTCTGATTGCCAAAGCAAAC